AAGCGCAGTTAGCGAGCACGTTAATAAATAAAATAACTTACAATAAATAAATAACCTCTCCCACTACCTCCACAGGTGGGGCTGTGGTACAGACTCAGCAGTAGTTATGGGATTAGTCTTAAAATAGCTCCAGCGTGTGTTGAATCCACTCAGCTTAGGAACACTATAAGCTGTGTGTTACTAGCTCCTAGTAGCCCACGTTGCAGCATCTTATGAGCAGAAGGAGCAAGGTGGCTTCCAAAGAATCAAGAGAAACTAAAGCTCCCCAGGAAATGATTAGTCTATGCAAGTTGAGGCACAGGAGCTAGGCTAGACAAAGCGTTCCTGGCTGTGGAGCCATACTGCTGAGTGAGTTAGTTACCATTAACACAATGAGACACTACTTTTTGTAGTTGTAAGGACTACACTATGCTGCTACAACAATGCTGATATTTACAAAAAAAAAATACCTGGGGCTCATTTGATAACTGCTTCCTTCTCCCCTAGTGCTTCTGCCCACCCAACCCCAGCAGATGCTCTATATGTTTGCAAGCCACACCACCTGTGGCCAAGGAATTTAAAGACTTTTTTCCTCTCTCTCCCATCCAACCCCTCTGAAATTCCTTTTCTAAATGACCTTAATATGCTGTTGGAGGCAGTGGGAAGCCTCACAGAAGGGAACTCAGCACAGCAGAGGAGTGAGGCAACACCATGCAGTACTTACTGCAATCTAGCTTATTTGCTTTGGCAAGTCTTGGACGCATAGAGGAGGAAGCAGAGACAGGTGGCATGGCAATACCTAAGCCCTTTTTTTCTAGGAACTTCAGGAATTTCTCTGCCTTTGATCATATGCAGGTGTAGCTTTACTGGGAATAATTATAATGGAGCACGAGTGCAGAGCTGCCGCTGGCGATTTAACCACTCTGTTGTCTAGGCCAAGTCTGAACACAGTTACACAACAAAACGCTGGCAAGCGGCCTGCACTAGCACTCCCACTGTCTGAACTCGGAGGGATAGCCCGGGTGAGAGAGGACCCGGCTACTTGCAAGTGGAGGCAGAGCTAGCGGCTGCTGGTTGTCTTGCCTGCCAGCAGAGGGTAGTACAGCTCTGCAGCTGGAAATAGCTTCTGCAGAGGAGCTACTCCTGCACGAATGTGGAGCTAAGAAAAAGGCAGAGTTCTTCCTGAGAAGAGACGGGTGGACCTGGCAACGGAGACTGGCACAGCCGCACACACACTGAAGATGTGGACAGAACCCACGGTCAGAGCAGATGCTGCAGAAGGAGGTGCTGTTCCTCCAGTGGGTTCTGGAGAAACCCAAGATGGGAACGGTGCCCACCCTCACAACCTTTAATTTCCAGAGGAGTCTGTCTCTTCATTGGAGCCTTCACTCTCAGCATCCATTTTTCGCCGATGGTGTAGAGGTTTCCAGGGAGAGTTAATCCTGGGTGAGTTACGGACAGGCAAATTAGCTGTGTCCCCACTGAAACTGGTGGGACCAGAGACAGAAAGCCCTGAAACTTGAGCTACCCTGAAAGAGAAAAGACAAATGGTAGGCAGCCTAACTTGTCATCTCCAACCTTTACCATAGCAGTTTTGGAGTGAACCTGGGAGGAGGGCTTATTCGCAAGTAGCACAGGGATAGAAAGATGTTCATGGCACAGAGGGGAAACACCTTACACTAGTACGTACCAGTCTCGCTGTGTGAATCTTTCTTCCGGGCTGAGCCTGTGTCATCCAACACTCCTAGCTTTCACCATCCAAACAAAATTTCTCTGTTCACTAAAGACTGCTACTTCCTCTAGATCCCTCTTTGAGGCACCCTTTTCCCCTCTGTTTCTGAAGCCTTTTCTAAGGATTTTGTCAGCTGCACCAAGGCACCCCAAAAAACAGGCCCTCTCTGCTCAGGCTGCTCCGTTAGCTTCTCTATTGTTTTATAGTAGATGAAAGGAATAGGGACAGTACTTTAATAAAGCCTTCCTTAGCATGCTACCTTTAATCTATTGCTTTACCTCCTACTTCAGGCAACTCCACTTACAATTTCTCAAGTTCCTGATCCATGGCAGGGTCCAGAAACAAGTCACCTTTATCTGGCAAAGCCCCTGGGGGGACAAAAAAAAAAAGAAAAAAAAACAAACCAGAAAGCAGAGTTAGGGTATTTATTCTTAAAGAAAAGTGCTCAAGCCATAGCAGCATCCAAAATCTGTCCTGCAAGACAGAGAAGACATACCTATCAGAGAAATCGACACAATGTTACAGATCATGGACAGATAAAGAATGATGGTCCATGTTCTTTGTCCTTCACACAGGGTGTAGATGAGCTCAGGCAAAATGAGAGGCACAATAGCCTCACCTCTCAGAGACCTTAAAGCGCCCCAAGGATCGGCAGTTTCCATTTACTATACAAAACTACTGAGTACTGACTGTCAGAGTGATGACAGTCTGTCAACTTCAGGCCTCTACTGATTGCCACATACAGTCACCAGTCCCAGATCCTGTCAGAGCAATAGATATGATGTTGTTTGTGCCACAGCCTGAAGCATGCGCTGTACCAGCCAGGGAGATGTATACTTCTGTGCCACCTGCCTTCCTTGTGCACTGAGCTTGGCTATCAAAACGCTCCACAGGTGTAAGGCTATTGCTTTCCTTGCAATTCAGGAAAGTCAGGCCTGAGTCTGATGCATGTTAAGTCTACAGGAGTAAGTGTGGATGGACTCTGCTCCAGCATTGCTTGCTGTCTGGGCGAGAGCGTGAAAGGCTGGGCCAATAATTGAGTACCCTCTCTCACCATAAGGTCAGCATGCTGCTTTTCACATTTGACACCCTATTCAGGATGAACAACATGGGTGTAGTTCAGGACTGGAACAGCTGGTTGATCACCCTTGCTGTTTTCAAAAAGGACACTGGCACTTTAGGAAGAGCCCAGGAAGGAAGATGGGGCTTTTAGGAAACCCCTCCTTCCTAATTCTGTCACATACTCCACCTTGTACAGTGGTCATGGGAAGGTGATCAGCCAGCACAGAGAGGACAGGAATTGCCTACCATAGCCTGGATAGTGCCACTGCGCACCAGGAAAAATACACTTGCTAATCTGTACCAACAGTGCAGTGAGGAGTGCTCTTATCTTTCAGGAGACCTGGGTGCTACACTCAGTACCTTTAGGAAGGGACTTTATTCCCTGTGGGGACACAAATCTGGTTTATGGCCCTGGGACCTTGCTGTTGAAGGAGGGGCTGGAGAGCCACCTGCCTCACACAGGCAGCTGGCAGCAGTCATTAAAAACACAGCAATGAGTGCCTAAAAATTTGAACCAGATCAGACAAGAAACGACTCCCCCACTTCTTCCAGTTCTGGTCTTCCCCGCCTGCAAACGAACAGGAAAGCCTGGCACCGCAACACAGAGTGTCAGGAGGCCCAGCAAAGCGCCCCAGCCTGCTCCCTTTCATGGGCTCAATTAAAAGAGTAAGCAGCTAAAGCTTAACTTGTTCCTGCATTTGCAGAACGCACAGGGAGGTCTCTAGGGCACAAGAATTACTTGGGAGAGTCAGTAAATAACATTTAAAGGATTCATGAATCAACACTGACACTGGAGTTAGGCTGCAGATTCCAGTCTGCCTGACAAACTCATCAGCACTGCCCTAGCCTGAACGAGTCGCTCTAATCCCTACCCCTGTTTCTCAAGGGTGGCTACTGGCTTTGTGAGACCAGAGAGAAGGCAGGCATTCTGATGGAAAGCTCTTTTGCCTGAAACTGCCCTCACTGAACGGCTTTGGGGAGCTTGTGATCCCCTACAGACCAAAGACTATTGAAATCATCCTTCAGGAGAGATTAAAAGACACCAGGAGAAGAATCCTCCTTTCCTTGCCAAGATGCTAGCACCTGTCAGACTTGTGGCTGCTGCCCCTCCTCTGTGAGAGGCCTTGGCAGGAGGCTGGCAGAGGGCCAGGGGATGGGCCTACATTAATGGAAATGAAAACCCACCCACTTTGTAGATGGCACAATGCAAGCTGTTTTCTTTGCACTCAACTAGAAGTGGATTTCGTAGGGCAAAGGAAAAAAAGATTTTGCTTGTTGCAATCCAGGCATCACCTTCCCCAGTGAATACACTGCTTCCTAAGCTTGTTTGCAGAGGGGATTGCAGGGCTGTATTCATGCACCTTTGATATATAATCTCCATGTTGCTAGGTAAGCAGCCCAGCCCCAGAGGAGCATTAGCAGCTTAAATGGTTTGCTGTAAGGGGCTCAGCCAGGGAGGGGACACTTTTACTCTACTATGACACACACCTGTGCAAAAGAACAAGCCCTTAGGCAAGGTACACCTTTTCACTGAGGTTTGTCTTTGTAATATCGGGACTGGCAGATATTCAAGCCTGGAAGTAGAGGGAGAGGATACCTACCCAAAGACAAAGAAAGCCTTCCCCTACTGGCCAGGCGATTTTCTGAGTGGAGATGAGTGAAGATGAGTGTTTGGGCCTTCACACATTTAAACATATCTCCTGGATATAGCCTTGTCAAACACAAAAGGCTGTTTCTGTTCCCCTTTGCAAAAGGAGGATGAGCACAAGCAAGGCATATGGGGCTAATATGGAATTGTGAGTCTGAATTATGTATGGATTACATACTGTCCTTTGTCAATGCAACACTTTGCTTCCTTGCTCTAGAACAATATTGACCAGCACAACATGGAAAGAAGCAGCGAGCTGCTGCTTGTAACCTCTCTGGTTGCCACCGCAGTCTGGTACAGAGTTTCGTAGCAGTTTTTGGTTTATGATACCACCACATTTTCAGCAGGCAATAGATTAATATACTAGCGAGATCACACTGGCTTGCGGGAAGATGGGGAAAAGCTGGGAAAGACTGGGCCTTGAGTCCTTCAGCCAAGGAGGCAGCACAGGTTTTCCCATTAGGTGTGCCTCCTTTTCTTGTAGGTGAGAGCAGCCAGTCATTTAAAACCTGTGGGAGAATGAAGGACTAAAACATAGGACCGGACCTTGATTCAGTACTGTCAACAGCAGTCAGCTGCCTTACTTGTCTCCTGACCACCTCTGTCCAACCTTTATAGCCAAACATGTTAAAATGACAGTTCTGCTACAATGATCAGCTATTGAAGAGGTAAAACGTTGGTATCTTAGGGCAGCATTTCATATCTAATTTCATCCTCGAAGAAGCTCCACAGCTTCAAGCAGACAGTAAGGTGCAATGTTATGTTTTTAAAGTTTAATCCATCATGAAAAAGATGAAAAACTTTCCCTCATTCTCATCCTGACAGTGTAAAATCTGGGGCATAATTACAGAGGAACTTCCACAGAAATGCAGAATGACTGAAAATCTAGAGCAGTATAACTCACGGGAGTCTTACCTAGGGCTCTATTGATCCCCTGATCCTTTGCAAGTGCCATAAGGAATCCATAGAAGGTCAGTCTCTGTGCACTACTCAACATTTCCTTCACAAGAGCAGAAGGTGGACAGCTAGGAAAAGAGAGACAAAGAAGTCATCTTGTCTTTTAAATTTTCATCTGTGGTTTGTTTCTGGTATTTGTTGTTTTTTTTTTTCCCCCAAGACTCAGCTGGAGAAATGAACCCTTTTACCTGTTCTAACACTGTCAAGTTGCCCTGACTCAGTTTAAAACAAATAGCCACCAGCTTGCTTATTTAGCATTGCATCTGCTCCTCAATGGCTAGGCAAGATGTTTGAGTTGGGGTACATCTTACCTGTCTCCATTCCAATGACAAGGAGAAAAGCCTAGATGCACTCAGAGGCATATACATCCCAACTCTCAGCATACTCTTTCAAAAATCAACTGGGAAATCCTTTCTTTCAGAAGACAATAAACTTTCATGAGGGTTGTTAGGTCGTTATCAGCCTTTTATCAGTGACAGTCATCCAAAGGGCAGGAAAACCTCTCCAATGATAGCCTAAACACTTCAGAAAACGATAATGAGGTGGAGACTCATTGACATGTCCCCCTCTTCTACACTCACCTTAAACCCCTGGCCCTGACTTCTAAGCCATATCATCATAGTGATTCTTACTCTTGCCTAATACTCCTTTAAGGATTTAATGCAAAATAAAACTGCCTTATAAAGAGGAAGTGTTGAACCTGATGTAGTGGCACCTCTGGGAGATGTGAGCGTGGGCTTGTGATCCCTCAGGCAAAGATGGTTACCAAAGCCTGGCTGAGTGTTGAGCTATGAGCTACTGGATGAAAGGCTGGGAGTGGCTTCCCTCAGTACTGTGGACAGCCTGACCTACCAGACAGGCTCACAGTATCCTTGTCATCTGAAGCTCTTAGGACCTACAGGGAACGTAGAGCTTTTGTTATTTAAAAGAACAAAACAACCTGGCATCTCCATGCTTAGCTATCTATAGTACTGGACAGCAGTTCAGCAGTAATTTTGTGGATCACAAATTTGGATTCAGGCACCTAAAGCAGGAATCATGTGGAACACATGTAGTAAGTCTTTTTGTGGATCTAGGCCATGACCTTCTAGCAGGGCATGTGCTCAGTACCTGTAAGAAACTATGAAGAAAGTGTCTGTCAAAGCTATAC